GGCAAACCATAAGAGACTCTTAAATACTGAGAACAAACTGAAGGAGGATGGGGGGTCGGGGAGAAGGGTAAGTGGGTGATGGGCACTGAGGAGGGCACTTGCTGGGATGAGCACTGGGTGTTGTATGGAAACCGATTCGACGATAACTTATTTGGAAAAAAAAAAAAGAACACAGGACCTTGGTCCAATCCGATTCACAGTGGGGACAAAGTGTCCAGGCCCACCCTGCGGTCATTTCCTCAGTGTCTGAGTGTGTCTCAGGGCGCCTGTACCTGGAAGAACTAAGGGCCTCAATGGTGGGGAAGGCCAAAGGGAAAAGTTCAAAAACACATCTATTCTCATGGCCAAAACAGTCTAGCAAAACACACTGTCTCCCAGGGGCAATAGCAGAACGTAGCATTACCCCGAAAGACCCGAATTCACCAGTATAACCTTAACAAAAATCGGATGAATCAAAAACGCAACACTTAGGTATCAATCCAACAAAATATGCAAAATATCTGTATGAGGAAAATGACAAAACTCTGATGAACAAAATCAAAGAAGAGGTAAATAAATGGATTTCCTATGTTCATGGATAGGAAGACTCGAGGTTGTCAAGATGTCTGTTCTCCTCAACTCGATCTGTGAGTGCAAATTAAAACAACTGGGAGGAAACTCCACGTGCCGATGTTGGAACATTGACAGCATCGAATGCTGGCGAGGACATGGAACATCAGGAGCCGGGAGGAATGCAGGTTGATGGTTTCTTAGAAAACTAAACACTCTTTTACTGCCCGATCCAGCAATTGCACTCCTTGGTATTTACCCAAAGGAGCTGAAAACCCATGTTTGCCCAAAAACCTGCATATGAATTTTTACAGTGACTTCATTCGTAATTGCCAACACTTGGAAGCCACTCAGGTGTCCTTCAGTAGGTGATGGATGAACAGTGGTCCGTCCAGACAAGGGGAGATTACTCAGTGCTGAAAAGAACTGAGCCATCAACCCATGAAAAGTCAGGGGGGAACCTTAAATTATTGCTTACTACTTAACGAAAGCTTAGTACTAAATGTAAGAAGCTAATTTGAGAAGGCTACATTCTGTATGATTCCAACTCTGACATTCTGAAAAAGACAGTGGAAAGATCAGTGGTTGCCAGGGGGGAGGGATGACCAGGTGAGGCACAGAGGATTCTTAGGGCAGTGCAAATACTCCGTGTGGTACTAAACTGATGAATACATATCATGACGCGTCTGTCCAAACCCACAGAGTGCACAACACCAGGAGTGAGCCCTGATGAGAGTAAGGGGCTTTGGGTGATGTTGACATGTCTGCGTGGGTTCGTCACCTGTAACACCTGGTCCCTCTGGTGGGGGCTGTTGGGGACGAGGAGGCTGTGCATGTGTGGGGGCAGGGGGTTATGGGAAATCTGTACTTTCCTCTCCATGTGGCTGTGTGTCTACAAACTGCCCCTGAAAATAAAGTCTAAATAATCAAATGAATTTATAATGTTCTATTTCAGTTGGATCATGATGAATGACAGCAGATCCCTTTAACTGAACCAAGTTTTAGCCTGTAACCAAGGTGCTGTGCTGGGTGCTGAGTGTTACGGACCTAGGAGAACAGGACAGCACAGCCTGTGGCATGTGCTTCGTGGTGGCCGATCTGTGGAATGAGTTCTTTCCAACCCCGTCGGGTGGGGGGAGCAGTGAGAAACAATTGTGTTCACTTGGAAGAGGCAAGAAGTTATGTTTCCAGTCTTGCCCCAGGCTGAGGTTGACCTCCCTGCTCTGTGTCACAATATAGGCCCCATGGACCTTTGTCATCTGGACTGGGCCTGTGGGGTATCTTGCTGGCTCACTCTTTTGATGACCTCATGCTAATAAGACCCGGGGAGCATTGACTGGCAAGTGCTTTGGATGCCTCGTAAGATGCGTTTATGCCAAAGGGTGGGAGAGAAATGGTAGAGTCTCAAGGGTCTGTCTCATAGCTGGCGATTTGAGAGGTTCGGGGGTCTGGGCATGCCGAGACATTGCCTCTAAGGAGTAGCGGAAGTTTTGATGCCTTGCCCCACCTCCTTTGATGAGCAAGGACGATGCCAGGTGGGCCTCACCGATTTTGGAGGTTGTGTGCATCTTACTCGGAATGTCCCTGCGTCAGGCGATGCAGAAGGCTCTTAGTGGGGCCGGGGCGCAGGTGAGCTCTCCATGCTGCGATAAGACCACTGCCCTGAGGGTGCCCCTGGGAGAAGGGGACACCACACGGCATCTCTGAGAACTCACACGGGAGCCAGGGTGCGCCATCTGCAGCGCAGAACCGCTCACGGCTCAGAGCGCAGCGTCCGTCACGGTGCCGGGTCCCGGTGGAGAATGAGCCACTGGCCACGAGGCCCTAGGTGACTCTGGGACCTGAGCCGCCCACCTCGAGCCACGCGTTACAGGGTCCTCACCGCGGAGCGAGGCGGGAAAAGGAAGTAAAAGGCACAGATACCGGAAAAGAAGTAAAGCTGTCTTTTGCCTAGATGCATCGCTCACCTGCATAGAACATCCAAAGGAATCCACGAAAAACCTTGTGAATTTGGCAAGGTTAGAAGACAGGTTAATAGAGAAAAATCAACTGCACTTGCATACATTAAGAATAAACAATTGGACATAAAAGTTTAAAATACCATTTACGGTAGTCAAAACTAACACACCCGGGAATAGATCTAACGAAGGCTATGGAAGCCCTTGCGCCGAAACATTGTGGAGTATAATTTAAAAGACCCAAATCAATGTTCATGGGAAGGAATTCATATTTTGATGATTTCCGTTGTCTTTAACTCGATGCATAGATTTACTGCAATTCCTATCAAAATTCCAGGAAGCTATGCTGAAAAAATAGACAAGATGATTCCAAATTTACACGAACATTCAAAGGATCTAGGAGAGGAAAAGCAATCTTTCAAAAGAGAGAGCAGAATCGGAAGACTTGAACTAATTGGTTTCAAGACGGCTCACGAAGCTGCGTTACCGAAGGCGGTACGCGACAGGGAGGAGGCCGTGACACGGGGGAGAGGCCAGAAGCAGGTCTGCTCTGCTGGTCAGTGGCAAAGCGGCCGCCCCAGTCAAGTGGGAAAAGGACAGTCTGTTTAACAATCGTTGCTTGAACGACTGGCTGTCAGCGCGGAAAAACAGCAAACCCTGGCTCCTTTCCACCCCATTCACAAAGTTAGCATAAAGTGCACCATGAACCCCTCCACACAAAAGCTGACACCGCAAAGTTTCCAGAAGAATCTTCCTATGAGGATATCAATGTCAGCAAAGGTGTTCTGGAGAGGTTCCCGACAGCACGGACCACGAGAGAAGCCGCAGGAGCTCACCAAAGGAAAAGACGTGCCCTTTGGAAGACACGGTTAAGAAAATGAAATGGTAAGCTGCGGGGAGGGAGAAAAGGCTCACCACTCTTCCGGCAGTATCCCGAATCTATAAAATAACGACCATAGGGGCGCCTGGGTGGCGCAGTCGGTTGAGCGTCCGACTTCAGCCAGGTCACGATCTCGCGGTCCGTGAGTTCGAGCCCCGCGTCGGGCTCTGGGCTGATGGCTCAGAGCCTGGAGCCTGTTTCCGATTCTGTGTCTCCCTCTCTCTCTG